AGAATCTATCTCTTCTAGACTTTACATTCAAGCGTCTTCTACTCATCAGATGAAGAATCTAGCAGAAGTTCGTCTGTCGAAGCAAGCGAGTAGTCTTCCTCAGAGCAGAGGAGAGAAAGCTAAAGCCAGAGTCCTTTTTAACCCCCTTTCCTTTTTTTTGGGAGAAAAATAAATAAAAAAGGATTGGCCTTATACCGGTCTATCGGCGGCCCGAGAAAAAAGAAGACTTTCTGCTTTGACTTAGCCATACGATTGCTGCTTGTAGGCTGTGCGCTTGCCGCTGGCTTTTTAACCTAGCTTCCGCTTCCTCAGCCTCTGGGTCGAAAAGCAGGAATTTGAATTAAAGTGAAAGCTTTTTTCTCCCTTTCCCCACTCACTCCTGCTGGAATGAGTAGGCCTCCCCTTTCTTACTAGAGGTTGAATCAAATTGTAGTAAGAAAGAATTCTATAGTAAAAGACTTACTCGAACTTTATTTGTGTTTTTTGTAGTAGGAAGGGGAAAAAACCCGTCTCCACCCTCCTTGTCGAATAAGGCTTGCTTGCTTGCATGGAATGATTCTCCCTTCTATGATGAACTTTCTTCACTTCAGCTTTCTAGCGCTTGGCTTACCTGCCTTGACTATCAGAGAGATGAATTGCTATCCATCAGAGAGAGAGAAAGGAAGTTGTACCAGAGGATTGATTCTAGTGAAACTTTTCATCATCCATAGATAGCAAAGGAACTAGCTCACAGGCCTCCTACCTACGAGACTGGGCCGACTGCTTAGAAGCAAAGCAAAGAAAAAAGGGAGCTGCGGTACCTGAAGTGCTTAGTAGAAGGTCTGAGTATAGACAAGAGGTCTTGTGGGAATTCTAGAAGTGTGAAGGTTCGAATCCTATCTGTAGATCTTTCCTCAGTTGACTGCTGCCATTAAGGCAATGCAATTCTATCAATAGATAAGATATCCCCGAAGAGGGTTGATGCCGAGATTGGAAACTAGAGAAGGTCGAAGAGAAGGTTATATTTCCGTTCGTGACCCAGCAATCTTCCCTCCTCTCCCTATCGGGAGAGCTACTTCGTTCCTGTCTTTTTGGTCTCGCGTCTCCGTTGCTCGTGCTAACGGGTGGTCCTTATTCTCCTAGGATCAGTTCGCACGAAGGCAGATTTCGCCAGGGAGGTAAGGGAATTTCTAAATTGAAGACAAATTCTCCTGTACACAGATGGTCCATGTTCTTGTCACTGAAAATACGGGTAAGCTTTGGTTCCTTTCGGCCATTTACGCTAGTCCCAGGCCTGCCGAACGGCAACATTTGTTTCATTCTCTTATCACAGCCTCCGGATGGCACAATCATCCATGGGTGCTGGTAGGTGACTTCAACGACATAGCTGCTTTTGGAGAGAAATCTGGTGCTATTACTCATCATATGACCACCACAGGATACAAAGGTTGAGTTCTTGGGTCAATGCCACTGGACTTATTGATTTGGGCTTTGTTGGTCCGGCTTACACATGGTTTAGGAAAGGTCAAGGCTGTGTAAGACTAAAGGAAAGAATAAGGGATTTGCTAACCCAAAGTTTGTTCCCTGAAGCGGTAATCACACTCCTCCCCCTAACCTACTCTGATCATCGCCCCTTGCTCCTTGTTACCAAGCAAACACACTCAAATAGCAACCAACAGAAGTCTTTTCGCTTTCAGAAAAGTCGGTTCGTATACCCTCTGTTCTCAACTAAAAATGATAGTCTTCCAGCCCAGGAACTCAAAAGGAAATCCTTTCCTCAGAAGGAATTGAAATAGTAAGATAATTAGCATAAAATCCTTCCTCCTCTCAGCTCTTGGAATCCGTCGGCAAAGAAGGTTTAGTCGGAAGTTGAGTTGTGCTATCAGCTTTTCCAACTAATGGAAGATCCTCCTCAATAGGCGAAAGACTTCGTTGGAGGGGGAACTTCTTTCCTATTTCCATACCCGAGAAGACGCTGTTGGCCTAATATCATTGGCTCTTTGGCTGTTAGCAATTGAAGAAGAATCGACTGCTGGAGGGCTTAAGACACCGTGATTTGGAAAGCGATCGATGATCAATCTATCTGTCCGCACTGATGATGTTTTTGAATCCTATTTCTAATGATCTGCTACTGCGTAGCATTCAAGGCCTCTGACAAGAGATTTACTCAGCCGTCCTTAGCTTTTCGGAAAGCTAGATTAAGAATCATTTTTCTTTAGAACGTCTTGCTTCCTATCTATCTTTCTTTTGTCCCAGCGAGTGGAAGTGACCCGCCCCCACCCGTTGGAGTGAAAGGCCCTAATCAACTTTTGGAAGCAGGTTGCAGTTTAAGTCTTATTGGATTTAAGATAGGGTGTAGGTGGTGTAAGCACTTTCGGAGAGAGGAAATGAGCCACTCGAAGAGTATCAAAGCATGGCTTCAACCCCGGGAATCTGTAGCGAAAGGAGGACTTTTTCAGCTATATAGTATATATTTTCGCGTCTAGGTAAGTTCTTCCTTAGTGTAGAAGCTCCAATGAGAATTTCCTTCTATACGAAAGAACTTGGGAAACTCCACTTGTTCTCGAGGTGGTGTAACCGTAGGACTCGCTGCTTCCAATGGATTCCTTCTCTGACTGGCATGGTAATGAAAGGGGAAAGAAGGATTCCCGGGGGATAGGGTAGCGTAATCCTAAGTCACCGGACTTATGAAAGAAGTTTTCCCCCCGATAGGTTTCCAGAAGGAGCTAAGTGACGTTAGAAAGTCCTGCTTGTCTGTCCCGGTTGATAGATTTCTTCTGACAGAGAGGGGAAAGCTCTTTCTTTTCTGATCGAAAGATATTTTTTTTACTCGCTATCGCTATAAAGGTTACAACCGGCGGCATTCAAAAGGAAGGTTATTACAAGAAGTGATTAGAGCGGCTTTGTTTGTAAAGATTTGTAAAGAGTTGACTTCTTCCTCTTGAGCACAGGATAGCTACTGACTCTTCCGATTAATTAAGATATAGGACAAGCCAAAGCCAACGCGTCAAAGTAAAGTCAGGTTCAGCAATCGACGTAACTGGTTCAAATACCAGAAGCTAGGTCATAGAAGGTAGATTCGATACGACCAGGCTATAAAATAGGCTGACCCTATCAAAAAAGGATAAGGAATGGGCCCTTACTTAGCACAATAAGTATAATTTCCGCGCTATAGGTTCGACAAATGCGTCTTCTAGACATCATGTGGATGACAAGACCAATGAATCCTTAAAGGTAGCTTTCTCAGTAAGAATATAGCGGGATAAGGCTGTGATAGGCACGAAGTCAAGCAACCTATGAGTAAGTACTCCCGGTCTATACCTTGGCTAAAGTATCTTGCCAGGTATGCTAAGCTACATTGGTTTTCTATCCCTAAAGAGAATAGGCATCTTATTACTGATAAAACTACGTTTAAGAAAGAATGATCATATGATGTCCAGAAAACGCATTAGAAAGCTCTATAGAGGTACGCAGTTACTCCACCGATAGGGAGAGGAGTGTTATTGATTGCTGGGGGAGGTATGAAGTGAGTGACTCTTTCCGTCTTTAGTTTAGGTTCATTACGGCAGTTGTTAGTTTCGTCTCTTTATCAGTTAATTCGGTATCGTTTATTAATTGCGTATATTATATATAATTAAGGGTAGTCCTTCTCCCAGGTGCGCCTAAAGTCTTATGATGATTCCTTGCCGGTTAAACCATCAGGCTCGACTAAGAAATCCATGCCAGAGACTCCTCCTAGTAACCATTCCCGAAATCCAGGGAGGTGTTCTTGAAGACATTGGCGGGCTCCAAGCTACACCCTTCTCTGCTACCAAATCATAGATCTTCCAGAGAAGACCAAAGAGAATGAGCTCACTCGATTCGCGTCTGATCCTCCATTCTTTCTCATAGACTGATGCAGAAAAGAAGTAACTTAAGGAAACATCCGGTGAATTCGCGACACTTCAGTACCAATGGACGTACCGAAGCCAATTCTTCATCTCTTCATCCAGTTCCTGAGCAAAGACCACTCAAGCAAGGAAGTCCCGGACTCTTTCTGCTGGAAATAATTCATCAGGAGCCACCTTTAAATCCGAAGGTTTCATCCCTTTAATTTAAGTAATTTAAGAAGGAAGGAGATAATGAAACCTCGAAGATAAGGAAGCGAAAGCTCACTCTGCCAAGCCACAATTCTAATGGATAGTCATTGGGACCCCGAGGCTTGGTGTACATAGCAAGAACCCGCTCAAAGTGACGAGATCTTGTATGACTGAGTTTGGCAAGCAAGGACCCTATAACCTCCACAACCTATCCTTGGTAGAGAACCTTCGTAATGAATGGATATTTTTTACATATAGCCATCAGACCATATGGATGATGGTAAGCAAGCAAACAACGAGCAGACATGGCAGATAAATCCACGCGTCCACCCTTGACGCAAAAGCGCTTAGCAAACTCAAATGCACCAGTGTCTTCAATCAGAGATTTTTGAGTTGAAATTGGCTGAAGACACTGAAAATAAACTTCGGCAACTTGCGCATCAGCGATGACAACATCATCACCGAGCACATTGATTGGGACACATCAAAAAAAGTGGCTTTTGAACGAGACCTACCGGCTTAGGGGCAGTTGCTACTAAAATGGGTGTACCCGGAACGGGGTTCCGATCTCTAAATAGATCTGCTATAGCTACTCGATCTCGATCAAATGGCTTTGGATCTGTCTCCACATCTGGAAGATCTGTAACAGGATATGGAACTCCATAGAGATCTGAAACTTTAAGGGGTGCTCCATACTAAATTAAGGGTAAGAGCCCTTACTCTCTCTTCTGTAGATACGCTATCCCTTCCGGCTATGGTATGGGGGAAGGGAAGTGAGATCTACCGATTGATTTTATATTAGATGAGCGGCCGTATTATGATCGTTCGGGAGACATGGCCCCACGCGCTACACACAAGAATGAATTGTTATGTGGTCGGTAAACTTTTTCTGCAGGCAGCCTCAGATCACGTATTATTTATTTAATATGTCGTTCCGTCATGTACATGTATTCGGTCAACAATTTGGATGTTCCTGCTCTGGTTAGCACGGTAAAGCTTGTTTAAGTCTTTCCTCTCTGTTTCCTTCCGTGTCGTTCCGGTCTCTTTTCTTCTTCATTCTCACCCTAAAGTTAGTATTGTATCTTATTCCTATCTAAGCTATATCAACATAGCAAACTAGAAAACTCATGCGCTTGTCAATTCATTCTTGGTGTAATACTCACTCATAAATGATTGGTGTCAGAATTTGTCACTGATCAGTCTCATCCGTGTAAAAAATTGGAATTCCTCTTCCAACTCGTCCCAGAATGGGCGTTATGGCAAAGAACAAGAAGAAAACAAAAGGAGGAATTTGTCCAATAGTAACAAATGGTGCCTCCACAGGTTGACATCCGATCCAACCTAGTAGTAAGCGATCCGCCAAAAGCAACCAAAATATTCCTTGGTGAATAGGGCGAAAACTTGAACTACGCACATACATACTTTTAAAAAAAGGTAAAGCCAACAGACATATAAAAACTGGTGCTATTGCGGCTACACCTCCCGATTTGTCAGGTATACTACGAAGAATGGCATGGATCGGTAGGAAATACCATTCCGGCACAATATGAGGCGGGGTGGGCATCGGATTAGCAGGTATATAATTGTCGGGATGCCCCAAAACATTAGGAGCATAAAAAATCCAAATGGAAAAAAAGATAGCAAAAGCTACCCAACCCACTAGATCCTTTACATAAAAATAAGGGTAAAAAGAGATTTTATCCATCTCTGAATGTACACCCAATGGATTATTTGATCCATATTGATGCAATGCGGCCAGATGAAGAAGACTGGCGCCTACTAAAATAAAGGGGAGTAAATGATGAAGACTAAAAAAACGATTTAAGGTGGCATTGTCCACGGAGAAACCACCCCAAAGCCAAGTAACTATGGTATCTCCTACTACAGGTATGGCGCTAGCTAAGCTTGTAATTACTGTAGCTCCCCAAAAGCTCATCTGACCCCAAGGTGGTACGTATCCTGTAAAAGCTGTCACAATCATTAATAGGAAGATTACAACTCCGAGACACCGAACAAATTCCCTAGGACTGCTATAACTCGCATGATATAGACCACGAAAAATATGAAGGTGAACCACAATGAGAAACATACTTGCCCCATTAGCATGCATATAACGGAGCAACCAGCCACCTTCAACATCTCTCATAACGTGTTCTACGCTGTTGAAAGCTAGATCCACATGAGGTGTGTAATGCATAGCTAAAAAAACGCCAGTCACTATCTGAATGACTAAACAAATACCAGCTAACGGACCGAAGCCCCACCAATAACTAAGATTGCTCGGGGTTGGATAATCTATCAAATGCTGATTAAGTGTGGAGGATATAGGTTGTTTAAGAAGAGAGAATCGATGGTTCCTTATAGTCATTTCTCTTTCCTATCGTGACCACTCAGGTTCCCCCACCTTTTTAGCGTTCTGGGGCTCTACTTACTATATTACTATATATATAATAAAATGGATAGAGTACCCTATATTTCTTCCATTTCTAATAAGAGTTTCAAGTTTCATGTGGTTGGTTGTTGACCAACAAATTATGCATGGGAAAAAGACTACCGCTATCAGAAAGACTAACATGGATACAAAAAAGGTGGCAAGTTTTATCTCAATCGAGAGTCATTTCCCTTAGTGACTCTAGAATGGAATCAACCAGAAAGAAAGTATTATGGTATGTCGTCCACGGGGTTTGGGAAGTGCCTTTGCTCCCTTTCCCAATCGTAGATGCGGTTACCTAATTCCAGATTGAGTTTGAACTCTCTACCCTTAAGCCTACCATCCAATTTCATCTGGTCTAGAATTTGCATGATTTGAAGCCGCTTCTGCGGGGAAGCAGTTTCTAGTTTAAGGTCTTCATAAAGTTCGGCGAGAACCCTCTTTTGGGGTTTCCTTCCCTTTATTATATAAAAGATTCTCTCAATGTGTATTTTCAACCACGTCGGATCAGGGGCTTCCTCCCCCATGGCAGTGGTTGTTGGTTGATCCACCTCCCCCTGCGGTTGTTGGCCGTCGCCAGGGGCCGAGGAAGTTTCCCCCTGATTAAACCACCTTTCAATCCAGGAGCCACTCCACCCGGATGAGGTTGAGGTTTCGGGAGCATCCACTCGGCGTCTTACCGAAGAAGGCCCGACGTCCTCTCTGGGATCAGAGCTCCTTGTTCTCGAAGCGGGCTCGGCTTCGCTATTTCCCTTACCCTCACCTTCGGGATGAGGTGAATTCAGAAGAGATTTCTTCCAACTCTCCGAGTCACTGTTACTCGAATCTGACCCCGCGGGCATCATCTGATGACCCATTATATCCGACGCTTCTTTGGTAATGAGGACCCTTGCCCCAAAACCTATGGACCAGGCAAGTCCCCCCGGCAGGCCCAATTTCCATAAAGCAAAGGAGAGGGCTCGACACCCCAGAGAGATGAGCGCCTTTGAAATGTTAAGATAGAAGAAGTCCATTTGTTCTAGATACAGACAAAGCAAACAGCACATTGAAAGAAAGGTCAACAAGAGTAGAAATGAATACAACAGGTGCTTACCAATACGAGATTTTTTTGACATTTTAAGAACAGTAAGACCGAGTGGGATCAAAGAAACTAGCAGACTGATCACTAAATAGATACAAATAGGTGCAAATTCTGACATTACCACAACTCACTTGCTTCTTTCGTTTCTCTCCTTTTTTCTTCCCGCTTTAATATTTGTTCTTGAAAGTCTTCGTTTCCGTGTAGAAGCAAACTCTCCAAATTTATGACCAACTTTTCCTTCAGTGATCTTACAACGAACAGGCCTTTTTCCATTGTAAATTCGTACGGAGCAATTAACGAATTCCGGCAAAATAGAAGATCTACGTGACCAAATTTTCCTCTTCAAAAGAGGGTCTGTCTTCTTCTTCATTCTCAACAGGAATGCATCAACAAAACTGCCCTTCCATATAGATCGTCGTGGCATGAACTCAGAATTTCTTCGATTCGCTTCCGTCCCTACTAAAGCTAACTCCTACTCCTCCTTCATCCTCGTTGGTTGGTCCTTTTGACATAACTCCGCTTAGAAGAGTGAGAAATTCTTCCCCTCCTTCCTTTTTTTCTTGGGCATCCCAATGTAAATGCAATGCATTCTTTTCGATCTTGTACTTGAACCTTAACCTTAGTACACTGAAGACCAAGCCAATCTCGATCAATCAAAGTACACGCAACTACATCTCCTTCGGACCGGGAGGTCGAAGATTCTATATGCAACCTTACTTTCAGGATTGCTTTACGAAAGATTCCATCTAGCTGAAGTAGGACGAAGCGGTATGAGATAAGAGGGAGGCGTCCTGCCTTCAATGCATGCATCTGAAACGGGAGCTTTCACCCGCATATCATACGGGAGTCTTAGTGGAGAGCGTTCTCTTGTTCTCATCCCTAGTATAATTTGAAGTGACGGCCTCCTTCCCTATTCGATAAAGAAGGGAACGGTGTAAATAAAGCTCTTTCGAGTCCTCTATCCGTCTTGGGTACGTGAGTGGGCTTTCATTCTCAATTCTCTGGGAATGGAAAGCAGACCGAGCACAGAAGTCGAAGACTTGGGAGAATCTTTTTCCAACCTATCGCACGATCGAAGACGCATTCATTGATAGTCGGATCGACGTATGCCAGGTTGTGTGCCAGGCTGTCTTTCTTTCTAAGCCATATCCTACTGGCCTAGCCATACCAGAGGAGGAAAGGTCCTACTTAGAGACGCAACCTACGATGAAAGGCTTTCGGGATGGCTTAAAGTACCCATTCCATCTAGGTGAAGGAGAAAGAGATAGGAAAAGAAAGATATCACCTGACATGGAAAGATGGAGCTACCCTCCGCCGAATAGCACAAGCACGGATCAAACTGACCACATGGTCACCGCCCCTCAGGGAAAAAGAACTCCATAGATTGAGGCAACTTACACTGAATAGTAAGCTATAAGTCTCACTTCCTCTCCCGAACTGGTAATAGAATACTCGTAGCTATGGAGTTTGATTGCTGGGCAAGGAGTGCATTCTAAAGTTACGGTACCAAGCCAATCGCCTACGTTCGTATCCTGATCCAACTCTTTAATTCAAACCTAATATCATGAATCTCCTGAGCCCATTCACAAGAACCTAGGCAAACAAATAGGCTATTTCCTAAAACTGGCACTCTTGAAATGTCCGTCTTCGAGGGGAAATTGATTTGATACCAATTTTCCGGAAAGTGACACAATTCCAATTCAAGTTTACGAAAGAAAGGTATTTTATTTATCGCCCCCCGGATCGAAAAAAAAGATTCTGAGCACGTCTGGTCAAAGTCTATCTTGTCTTTACCACGAGTCATTTTCCTTGGCTAACAATAATTTTAGTTTTGCACATATCCACGGGTTCTTCAATTTGCTTTCTCCCGGTTATAAAATAACATTTAAGAAAGAGGAGACCGGTCGCCATTAAGACACTTCTCGGAAACCGAGGAAATATCCAATTCCGATCCTGGGTAGGATTCACCATCCGCTAGACATACTACATAAGCCAACAGTAGTATGAATGGGACAGAAAGCTTTCTTCGACCTCTTTCAGGAATGGGCCTTACACACGGAGACACTTTCTATATCTCTCTTTTCCGTCTCAATCCAATCCAGTTCCATTCGATCTTAGGCGATCTCAGGTTACCGACTCTCCGGCCCTATTTCGGTGCACTATTGGAGAGCTCACTGGGCCCGCCGCTTTCTCAATCGATAAATGAAACTGTCAATCTTTTCCTACTGAACGATTCTATCTATTACTTACGTCATTTCTTGTTGTCAGTCAATCTTCATCAAGACAGCTGACCGAGTCGAAACCTATTGCTCAAGTCTTCCGAACCCGAATAACGAGAAAACTTTTCTCTTATCTACGATACCATCAGACGCGCATTCCTTGGGATCAGAAGGAAGACTCTTTCATTTCAACGTCTACTCAGTTTGCTATCTTTTTCAGGATCAGGATCGGCCTATCCAACCACTATGGGATATGAGGTTTTTCCTCGGCTGCACAATCCGATGTGCAGAACTACTGAACGGAAATTTTATCCTATTCCTCACTCGACTTCAACCCGCCCGGCTAGTTGCATCAAAGGCATTAATTGTTTTACGGAGTTCTTTTCCGAGAGGGACTTTAGGTAAGCAGGTCCCCCAAACGAAACGGTCTCAGAGTACGCAAGTCTTATTTCGATTGGAGAAAGAGGTCGGGTTAGGGCAGGAAGGCAAAAGCTGCCGTTGAAGCAGTCACGATATGAATCCATATTCTGGGCTTCGTGATCGATATTAGGAGTTGGTATACCCTTTTCTATGGAGCCGGAAAAGTTTTCAATCAAAGAAAAAATTTCTCTTCTCTTTCCCAGGGACGAAAACCTTCAATACCAGAACAAGGAAAATTTCTTTAGAACAGCGCCTGAACCCTTTTCTTTTTTCCTCCACCCAACCCCAGACGCCCAAAGGGAAATGTACTCAATAGATGCTCTCTGAGTAACTAAGGAAGTCAGGGATGAGCAAGACTGACTTTTTCCAAATATGAGGTAAAATACCCGTGAGCGCCGCAGCAGCCCGGACATAGACCGAATTCGGGTCCTCAACCCTCGAAAGAAAAGATCAAACTCGTCGAATCGAGGATCGGAATCGATCGCTCATATGTCCATTCCGTTCTTGCTTGCTTTCCTTCTGTTATGAGACAGAGCCGCTATACGGCCATTTCTCTTTAGACAAATGACTGTCCCATTCCATTGCTGGAAAATACGGAGTAGGATTCAGCCGCGTGGTGAACGAAACAACATTCATTGAATGAGTTGACGCTAAACCTCCTGTCCCGCTCTTTAAGAGAGTAAGGGCTGTCTGCATTACTGGATTAACTATAATAAATAGTAGTAGAAATTAGGGGGCCACGTAGACTCTTAAGAAGAGGTATGCTAATCAATGATCTACTGACACGGGTGTGGGGCAGGAGCGTAGGAAGCATTGCTTATCAGAACACACTACGGGAGAAAGAAATGGAATCAATAGCTATGCTATTGTGAGCTCGCCCTACTATAAGTGAGCAATCTATCTTACCATCGGTACCGGTACTTTTCCCATCCTGTGACTATAAACAGACTCGCTACTATGGCAGGGCTTTAGCTCCGCTCTCTCCTAAACCTACTCTAATCAAAAAGACTAAAGTCAAGGCACCTACTTACTCGACTGTAAAGTAAAGGAGAGGCATGAATCCTCTTCAACTTCAAGGGGAAATCTCCCGGTAAGGTATTGAGAAGGGATCGCCTTCTCTTACTGAACCACGGAATAGCGCGGGAAGTGCAGCTTTGCGTATAAGTACGTAGATGTTATTGGGCAGTCGGGTAGGGAGGATCTTACGTTGATACAGGCAACCGGCCGACAACGCCCCGCGCAAGGCGTTGGGCAACTTAGGGTTTACTTCAACATCTCGATCAGTTCTATACCGGGACTGACAATACACACCATTGAGATCACCCAGGATTTGAACCTGAGTACTTCCCTGATGAGAGTAGATTCCATCTGTTCTCCCCAAAAATAAAGAAGTATATTTCAGTATATATAAGGCACCAAATCAAACGTATTCTCGGGAGACCGCTTTAGAAACGCTTTTGACAGGCTGCTAAAATAAATGCCTTTCTCGATGATTATGGAGTTGGAGATTCCTGTTCAATCGTTACCTCGTTTCATAGCCTATATCTCCGCTTTCACTGGTTTTCCTCTGCGCATAAAGCTGTTGGTCTTGCTGTGGCTAGCTTGTTTGGTGTATATGGCTAGTAAGTTTCTTATCTCGCCCACTGGTTTGTAACGACAGCGAAAGCTTAAGCTCTTTTATGGGGCATTGGGATTGCCCTTTCGCAAAAAGACCACTTCGAAAGAGCAGATGTTGCGCTCTGATATTACGTCCCATGCGAATCTATTAGATGAGAGCGAAAACCAAAAAGAACAGCATTCAATATCAAAAAATTTAAAGTCGGAAATATATATCAATATAACTACAATATTGAGGTCCTTTTTTTTGGCAGCCACTATTCCGTACCGACTAACAATGTAAAAAAATACTAATACACAGCAGCCAGCTCATCAACGTAATTGAAATCAAGGATTTCGGTTGAAAGTCTTATTTGTTCTGCTAAACAAACGAGCCTAAACGGGTTTCCGTCGGCGGAGGACAGCTAGGCAAGCTCTAGCGGGAGAAACAAGGGCGTGGTGTGGATGGGATGGAACCGAGAAGCATTCGAGACAGGGTAAAACGAGGCCTGACAGGCCATAACCCAGAGAAAATATTCTTACTCCGAAGCGAGATGAATGACTGGTTTGCTATGAGACCCATCGACCTTGGGAGTGAATAGAAAGAAAGGATTGTCGGTTAGATTCAAGGTATGCAACTTTCTTGATTCTACTCCACTTTCCAGATTGGCTTAGTGTTACATCTATCAACTGACTGAGCTTCCTTAGCTGACTGGGCTTTCAGCGCTGAGTTTCAAGACAAAGTGAGTTACAAGACTCCGGGACTAAGAAGTTTCTCTTAATCACGGGGCGCATTCGTCTATCGATCTTAGTCTTAGAGAAATGGGGCCACTACGTCAAGAGCAAATCGAATAGAGAGAGAAAGCGCTTAGTCAAGCGACCTCGATGAGTTGAAGGTTTGTGACTCCTTCTCTTAGACCGTACTTTCTTTCTGCATTCTGCAGTAGCGAGTATAACTTGAAAGATAGGGGTAAACGCCTAAGGCATTAGAAAATTACAATAGAACTTGACAGAGATGGAGTTGAAAAAGCATTTATTATCACCATGACCCGCCCTTACTTGACTGGTGGGTGAAGGAGAGAAAGACTAACTCAAACTCACTAGCCCCTAGCCTGGGAACATTACTTCCTATAGTGTATAGTGGCAGGTAGTTGAATTGAAGGAAAGCGCAAAGCAATGGTTGATGGTCATCAATATGGTCAGGTTCAGTCTTCATGAGGGATTCTGAACTCGTGAATTGATCCTCGATAAGAGGCTTGCTTTATTTTGTCGAGAAGCCGCTTTTTACAAAGAATCTGACTATATATAGACAATAACAAATAGGACTCTCAAATTGGACCAACTTCTTATCTTAGCCACAAAAAAAAAAGCTTATCGGTCTGGCCGGCGAATGACTACTCAATAAAGACATAGTTAGTTAATACGTACTTACTATAGTAGATTATAAGTAGATTGGCGAGTAAGGTCAGAATGAGCTCATCTTCAAGTTTGAGAGTCAGATATAAATGCCAATAATCGTCGTCGAGACTCTATAACCTATAAAAAAAGTAAGACGGTCCATCTTACTTAATAGGGATAGCCCTATAGCTCTTTTGTGAAAAAAAAAAATGAAAGTTTGTAAGAAAAGCCTGTTCAAGTATAACGAGATTAGCTTCCCGTCCCTCCATCCCAGATCTATAGGAAGAGGGCTGACATCAAGACCATTAATCGAAGGAGTAGGGATGAGAATCTCACATGGTGCCGTTCTCTCTGTCCAACTCGTTACGCACGCGAAATCGTTTTGCGAATTCGCAAACTCCTCTATCAGAAAAAAGACTCTTTCCGATAGAGATGTCGACTCCCAGCCTATCTAAAATGCTGGAATACCTTGCAGCGACGGCGCTATCCGCAATGACTATATCGTCACCGAGAATAGCGTATCGCGTGAAGCGCTCTCCAGGGTAGACTTGCTCTGCTGCAAACCACACTATGATATGATGTGAAAACGCAAACAAAGGCCAGGAAGCGTGATAACCCAATGGTTGACCTGCAACAAATGAAACCCAAACTGGAGGGTTCCTTTTTAGAAAACCAACCTCAAAGGCATTTGTAGCCAGAGCTGAATTTACGGCTGCCGAAGCAAACGACTGAACCGAATAGAGACTTTGTTAGTTCAACCATGATGCGAAGTGGCCACCTGTCGGTGGCAGACTTCAAATCAATGGAATAAACACAACCAGTAGAGCCTTTCAGCCAGTCCAGAGGTGAGAACTCCAACCCTAACTGTGTTGGGTTATATAGGAGACCATGCTAGCTTCTTTGAGGCACTCCTCTCACTCCTATTCCTGCAACTTCCCTAACTCACAGCAAGTGTTGGTAGTGAAATGGGTAAGTTCACTTATCCTTTGCCTTGACTTCTTCGCAGTCAGGTTTTTTACCTAATGAGTATTCCATTCCTTTATAGGTAAGTCTTCCACCCATAAGCCCCATCAGGACAATAAAGAGGAGGGTAGGGACAAAAGCCACGTGAGGTCCGTTGCATAGGAAGAACTCTTTTTGAAGCCCCAAGCCAAGGCTAGCCTAGCGAAGTCACTTACTGATTCACTTCTTTAGGGGTTCAATGACATGGATCCATTTAAACATAACCAGTAGCGTAGTCTCTTCTTTCATAAGCAGTGATTGCTCTTTTCGTAGATGAATAAAGTGGGGCTACTTCCTCTAAGGAAGTGACTGAGAGATATCGATGAACCGCTGGCTTTATTGCTTGGATAGCTTGAACCAGGTCTAGCTAGGCTGGGAGTCGATTAGCCCGAGTTGTGTTAAGATAAGTGGCACTTGAATTTGAAGTAGCCATCGGCCAGGTCTTGGATGCTGAGGAGATTTCAAATCAAATCCTGATCCTGATCTTCGAACTTTCTCTCTCCTTTGAATCACGATCTTTTGAAATAAAGATCAGAGTCGGCATTCTTTGATTTTGCATTCCCGCTGTTTACATCCTCTCGA